TAACAACGGAAAAATATTTGGTGCTAATGAATTTTCCTGCCTTGAGATATTGAGATTCGAACATTTCACCAGAAGGTAAGGGTGAAGGTCAAATAGTCGAGTCTCAATATCACAAGACAGGAAAATTCATCAGCATCGAATATTTTTCCGTCGTACTGCTATGATCATGGACAACAAATGGGACAAGTTTCAAGTAAAAATTCGAAAGTCGAATTTTGCTCGAAATCCAAGCTCTATAGGCAAAAACTGACTAAAAATCCAGTATATCAGCAAGAAAGCATTGTCGATTGGCATATGAATGAAGGAAAACGGAGTGGGTCAGTTCGATATATTTCCTCGTAGAAAAACCTGATCCATTTTGTATAGAAGAGAAACAATCGTTTTTATATTTTAACATTCACAACTGAGACCTTGTCTTATCTTATAAAAGTATTCTTTATGTTTGTAAATATTAGATAGATAAACATAGTTCGATTGATTTCATATTATGTATGTATGAAGATGCAAAGCATTCTACACGGTTTTTATCTCTAAGACTGCTTACGTATTTCCAATAAAATCCTACGGTAGGAATGTCCTATCTTGGGATCCATTGACCTCAATAAACCGTTAATTATCTCTTTCTTCTCTTTTACTGAGCGATAGAATACTCGACAGTTAATACCTTGTGAATATTCCAACGAGAAATAAAGTGGCGTGCCAAATCTCTCGCGACTTCACCGGCTAAAACCATACCCTGATCATGCCACGGTAATCGAGGTGTTTTTGTTCGATCAAGAAAATCTAAAATAAACGATGTTCTTCTATCGTATAAAAATTGTATACTGCTGATAATACCTTTATCATATTCATCCACATGTTCAAAATCTTTTTTGTAATAATTTCCGTAATCTTTACCAATAAAATATCTTTCACTTCTGTCAACATCAAATCTATCAACCCTTGGGGGTAATTTTTCATCATCTTCCGAATCGTCGGACAAATGTGTCATCTTTAATTAATGAGAAATGTTTAGCTCTTTGAGAAACGAATGATGGTCATCTTACATTTTGACTTGGTGTTCGGTTATTATTCACATACAACTGGCGAACTTTATGATTCTCATCATTTTCTACTCGAAAAAGAAAAAGAATGTTCGAATACAATATGAGAAATATTGGAGATAGAAGATCTCCGTTAGACGTAAAGACAAAAAACGAACTATTTTATTGTATCTCATAGTTAAAACGAACGTTAAGTACCTCATAAACAATCTGTGCTACACATATCGATCTGAACGCAGAATGGTCTCATTATTTTTCGTTTTCATCTAAATAATATTACGTCTAAATTTTTTTTTAGAAATTGCTTGTGCAGCTGATATAATACAATAAAAAGTTCTTTGCAAGACGAAATGTTTCTGGACAACGGTTCGTCTCTGAGATACAACGATATAAAAATGACTCTAAACCGAAACTGCCTTACAAGATAGAATAGCTTTTAGAGTTTAGTAAAACGTTAATAAAGCGGCACAAAAATCCTTCGTCATCAATGTTTTTCAGATAACATTAGGACTGTGACAATTACCAGTTACCGTTACCACCGTTACTCGATAACGGTAACTGCTGAACAGTTCCCGTTCCTGGTAACGGTAACGGATAAGCAGTTACCGTACAAGTAACGGTAACTGTTTAGTATATCTTTCAAGAGTCAAATCTCTAAATATCTAGGTATCCAGGGTGAGGGTGAAAGTTCGTAGCCTCACCCTCACCCTGGATACCTAGATATTTAGAGATTTGACTGTTGAAAGAGATACTGAACAGTTACCTACTTGTAACTGGTCGTTGCCGTTACTTGTACGGTAACTGCTTACACGTTACCGTTACAAAGAACGGTAACCGACCAGCAATTACAGTTACTGTAACGATAATGGTAACTGTCACAGCCTTAGATAACATCCCGTTAAGGGCCACTTTTAATATCGTTGCATCTCGGAGACGAAACGTCGTCCGTTAACGAGAAACATCTTGTTTTATAAAGAAATGTTTATAGTATCATATAAGCTACAAGTAATTTCTAAGAACATTTAGTTTAAATATTCTGGAAAACGAAAAATAAGATCATTAGGTACGCACATTGATGCATTTGCTAATAAATAATTTTCTTATTGATACTGACTGTTTCGTTTTTTGTCTTCGTATCGGTTGGCAAATATTTACTGGAGTTCGCAGTTATGAGAAGTGGTTTTGTGTCATCATTGGCTTTGCCTTTATTTGGCTCTAAATTATACAAAAATCAACTTATATAGAAGAAAGAAAAAGGCCGTCGTCGTGTTAGTTTTCGAGTAGTTAGTTTCTTGAGAAAAAAGATGTTTACAGTTTAGAACGATGAATTAAAAATAGTTGAGCTTCGCAACAAGAATAGTAAGAAGGATTTTAGTAGTAGAGTTAGCAGTAACAAAAGTAATTATAATCACTTAATATTTCATTCTTCACGTTGAGATTTCTGATAAAAGTAACTTATTTTTCTAGTAGATGCTCAACGACAAACGGATTGCACTATTTTCTCGAAAAAAAGCTCGTGCACTTAGGTCTGAAAATGAGCTAAAACCATGGCCGATAAAAAGAATTATTGATCACTAGAGGACATGTGCTATGTGGGTAAATAAGTCAAGCATGGATAGACTTTGTCGACGACTTCACAAGATCAATATTTTACCGTTTTCTGCACAGAATGTAATCAAATATTTGGGAATTTTACTGAAGTTCTGCCATAAATCTCGTCTACAACCTACAATGACCTGTAGTAGAACTGTACTACATCCGTGTAGAATCTGTTCAGATCTGTTATCAAACGCATGCACATTCGTATTTCAGAAAAAATCCCGTGAGAATTATTAAATCATAATCTTCTGATGATCAGCAACGTACTATTTTGGATCAACTAACCTGTGTATGTAAATGGCATCACTAAACAGAGAAATGATCAAAATTAGTTTTGCATAAAATATAGATTAACATACACTTTTTAATGAAGGATTTGATTTTGTCGATTCCGTCTTCCATTTGAGTCTCATTAGTATTCTAAAATAACGAACAGGAGAGAAAATAGCTATTTTTGTTGTTCTGTGTACAAAAAGATATCTACTACAGTTTTGAGTTTTTCTGCCTCATTTGATTCATCAGTTCCTAATTCCATGTCAGCTTCAAATTCGTTCGGTAATTTCAATGTCTTGTCGTTGTTTATACCCAGATCGACTAATCTAAATTTATGCTGTGCATTTAATTATTACATTCGGCAATCAGTTGATCTGATACTATAAACTCCTATACCTTATTTGTAAAAAAAATCATCACTTTCCGAGATTAGACAATCGTAGTAAGATAGTATAACCCCCTCCCCCATAATAGAAGCCTCCCCCATATTAGAAGCCCCCTCTGGAGGAATCGATGTGGAAGGTGTATT